CTTCTCTTGATTGTAGACTTTGACAGTGACATGTCTACCTCCCGGAGAGTGTTCTTCACTTGGCTGGATGTTGTGAAAGGGTTTTTCTTTACCATGGAGAGGATCCTCAGATCATCCACCACTGTTGCTCTCCGTAGATGTCCAGGCCTTTTTATGTTGCTGAGCTCACTAGTGTGGTCTTTTTTTTCTCAGAAGGTACCAAACTGTTGATTTGGCCACTCCTAATGTTCCTGCTATCACTCTGATTGACTTGTTTTGTTTTTGAAGCCTAACAATTGTCTGTTTCACCTGCACAGAGAGCTCCTTTGACTGTATGATGTGGGTTCACAGCAACAGCTTCCAAATGCAAATGGAACACTTAGAATCAACTCCAGACCTTTTACCTGCTTAATTGATGTAGAAATAACGAAGGAATAGCCCACATCTGTCCATGAAACAGATTTTGAGTGAACTGTCCAATTTATGGATTCTGTTACACCAAATACACAAAATAATGATCTTTAAAAAAGCATCATATGACCCCTTTAACCTTTCCTCCAATTTTGATGTGAATACTCTCAAATTAAAGATCAGAGTGTGCACTTTAATCCCGTATTCATTATATAACTGCAACTATATTATTATGTTGGGTCAGCAACTAAAATAATACAAATTGTGCCTGTGTCCAAATATATATGGACCTAACTGTATGTAATAATAATAATAATAATAATAATTATTATTATTATTATTATTATAAAATGTTGATACTGTACCTTTGATAAAGTGGCAGTGTGTTCCCCTCCACATGAGATGGACACAGTTTTCTTCAATTGAAGGCTATTTATAATTGTTGGGATGTGTCTGTCTTTGGCGACAAGAATTGTGAATTGAATTCATCACTTCCAAATGCATCATTTTCATGCTTTGATATAGATTTGACACATTATTGCACAATTAAGTACCTTTACATGTAATTTCATACTGTTATTGATTTAGCCTTTACATGAAGAAACAAGAAGACCTGTAGTGTCTCCGAGGCCCAGCTGTCCAGCAGAGTTCTTTCCCCATCCAAACACGACTCCAGAGAGAGACAACCCAAAGCTGTGGTCTCCTCCAGCACTGATCTGAGCCAGTGGGATCCCACTCAGACTCTGAACATGTTGAGCAGACGGAGAGCCGGGATGATCTTTCCTCAAACCCAGCTGACCATGAGAGTTCTCACCCCATACCAACACCTGACCATCTGAAAGAGCAACAGCTCTGAACATCTACACTCAAATCTCAATCAATTCATCTCAATCATGAGATGTCAAAAGATTAAAGCAAAATGGCAGATTAAATAGTTGTGAATACCGTTGGTTAGTGCCACTGAATGATGGTCTCCACATGCGATCTGAATCACCTGCCTGTTATCCAGACCTTTGAGAGGCCTGCAGAGACAAGACAATCTGTCAGATAGATATTTGTTATTATCATTTATGGTCATTTATACTGTTTTGCCTACATAAACATACTTGCACAAGGTAGATTTGTCCATGATGAGAACTTTTCCTGAATCAGAAAGAAGCACTGCACCATCTCCTCCACAGACAATCAGTCTGATTCTGTCATCAGTATCATCATTTAGATCTAGTGATTCTGGAGCAAATAATATATATATATTATAAATATTATATTATATTACATGTTAATATTATAAACATGTTTATAAACATAAAAAACATGTTTTATTATTAAAGTGCCCCTATTATGGGTAATGAAAGGTTCATATTTTGGTTTTGGGAGTTCCCAACAACAGGTTGACATGCATGCAAGGTCAAAAAACACTTTCATTGTCTTATAACATGCATTTATTTTTTACCTTATTTGCTTAACGACTCCCAAACGATTCGCTCAACGATTCATTTTTCCAAACCCCTCCTTTGCGTGACGCGATTTCATTACCATTTCATAATAAAAGCTACATTTGTGAGCGAAAAGACCAACAAGTGGGCGGGCAATATGCTAATGTTTCATGTTGACGTCAACATGAAACGGCTTGGGATTCGTTTTAAAAACGACTCGTTTCAATGATTCAGAGTCGACTCTTTCTTTTGAGAGACAATAGGTGCACTTTCAGATTTAAAACTTTGCAGGATGTTTTCATTCACTTAGAGCTGTGTTACACACTGCATGAAAGGTAATTTTCAAAAATCCATAATATATTTAGAATTTAGCCTATGTTTTCATTGCATATCTGATCAATTATTATGTTTTAGCCTATGAAGTATAATTTAACAATACGAATAAAACAAAGCGCCATTTGTTGTATCATACCTATATGATAATCATCTTCACTGCGCAATCTCAGGAACGAGACCTTCCCATCCCGGATAAATCCAGCAAAACTCCTTCCAGCTGACATGTCCTGAACTGCTGTTTTCGGACACACAGATCGTATTCCAGAATCGCCATGTTTGACTTGGTCAGGCTTTACCAGCCCCAAACCCTCTCTGACCTGCGCTCCCCAAAAACACAACATGACCACAGCTGATGCACGAGAAGTCTCTCTTTCTTCCTGGACTGACGAACACACTCATGTTAAACTGAAAGCAAACACGAAAGTTAAGCAGAAAATTGTTGTTTTCAGCCTAAACGAAACTTGTTCAATTTCCCACAAAATGAAAGTATCTGGGAATGATATCTTAGGACGTCACTGGAAAACGAAACCAAAATTTAAAGGGACAGTTCGCCCAAAATTAAGATTCTATTGGCAATTTTTACTCCCGTATTGTTTCAAATCAGTAGTCCTATTCTATACATTCCTTCACGGATCACAAAAACAGGTGTTTGGCAAAATGGAATGGACTGAAAACTCACTAAAGTCTCCATTATTCATCTGTTTTTCATACAGAAAAAGTGGATGTAATTCTGTATAAATTCTGCGTAACTCCTGTAGGCTATATTTTAGAACGCGAAATCATTTTAATCATTTGCTATTCTAACTTATAACTGATACAAATCGACCTATAGGAGGGTATGTAGGATTTTTTTAACAAATTGAAATGGCCAATGAAGAAAATAATACAAATCTGATGTACTCTTGTTCAAAAAGAAGAATTTCTGCTGTTTCGTGTGAACGTTTAGAAACAGAACTGTGCTTCATTACTTTTCTGAGGCCGTCCAGCCACCTCAATGAGGGAAAAGTGCTGGGAGGACATTAGTAGTAACAGTGTGACAAGAACCATCTGCTGATAACTGGCTCAACCCTGTCAACCAAACAGTTTATGAATGAGCTCCAACAGTGTTTACTAAAACATGTATTTTTATTTAAGCAATTCAATATGTTTGAAGAAACAATAACATGTTATAAGTTGACATACCAGAATATCCACATATTAATGCATTATATTATATAATATAACAATTACAAAGTGTTATAGTTAAGTTATTCTGTCAGCTGTAAAGCATAAACAATGAAAGGTCATTATTTTTATGCTATATATAAAATAGAATATGTATAGCTCTCATATTGTGATTATTTTAGCCAACAAATATTTCGTTTTTTATGACAACTATACATTTACAAAAAGAATGTGACCACATTAAGCAAAAGAGTAACATCTATATTGCAAATTTATGACTGCACAACTGAATAACAGTTCATGTAACATTTAAAACTAATAAGCTACAAAGTTTAGCAACATATGCTTGACTCGAGGGAAGTTTACTCTCGTCCAAAAACCTCACAAAAGCTGATTGCGTGTATAAGCTTGTTGCGAAGTGTGTTGATATCGCTGTATTTGGGAAGAATTAATCTGCCAAAACAGGTCTGGGCCTCTGGCAGTCGGTCTTCTGCATCAGGACAGTCTGACAGTAAAATCTTCAGAGAGCGCTTTGAGAAACCTCCCACAGGTACACGGTCCGTCCCATACAAGAAAACTAGAGAAAAATAAATAATGTGAGGATGTGAGGCAAATAATAATGATATTACTTAAATGTGCATGTGACGTAGATACTTCAGGATGCTCATATGTGACCCTGGACCACAAAACCAGTCATAAGGTGCATATTACTAATCAAAAATTAAGTTTGAATATATTTACAGTAGGAAATTTACAACATATCTTCATGGAACATGATCTTTACTTAATATCCTAATGATTTTTGGCATAAAAGAAAAATCAATAATTTTGACCCATACAATGTATTTTTGGCTATTGCTACAGATATACCCCAGCGACTTAAGACTGGTTTTGTGGTCCAGGGTCACATATGTTAAAGACAACACTTACTCAGAAACTTCCTCTTGTTCTCTTCAGAGAGCTCAGAGAAAACAGTCCAGAAGTTCTTGATGAGCTCATCAGAGGCAGAACACTTTTCATAGGAAGCAGACTGAAGACGAAGCAGAAAAACTCAGGTACTGTGAAATATTTAAAATGTCAAAAATTGGCAAGTTTCTTGAAGACGTTTACCTGCTGAAGCTCCTTCCACTCGTATTTAGGGGAGCCGTGGAGAAGCTCCTGGAGTTCCTCAGGGTGGAACATGCTCCAGGCATCGAACGGACAGCCCGTAAAGAAACCTCTTGAAAAATGCTCGAACTGACTGTTTACTGACTTGTTGAAAATGAAGTCGACATACAAATCCACATATTTCTGTCTGCAAATGAAATGAAACTTTGCAATGAAACATAAGCAAATCCAGCACTGCAAAAACAGGGAACATACACAGCATCTATAGGCTAAATTCTGTTTTATGCTGTCTTTTCATGTAATATCCATTCAGAAGTAATGAATAATTAATTGAAGTATTTTTCAGTTTTTCTCAGTCACTTTGGTACATTTCTTGAATCATTCTTAATATCGGCAAACCAATATGTGCATTTTTCAAAACAATTTATACAAACAGTACAATACAATGGATTACTTTCGAAAGCCTGCAATTAATCAATACAGAACACATTCACAAAGTATAATAGAAATGTATGAATAATATGCTTGACGGATTATGACAACTAGCTTAACCATTTTGCATTGAAAGGCTTAAACAATGAACTAATGATTAGATGTTTTGGGGGTAAGACTATTCAACAGAGAACCAGTATAAAATATTTTGATCAACATATAAGCAACTGTAGGAAACTGCAGACAATTGTACATAATCAATTGCATGAACATACAAAATCATTCGCAACTTGAATGAGAAATTGCTTCTGATGTGCACAAGTGACTACATGATGTAGAGGTTGAACGATAGATAGATAGATAGATAGCCAATTACATGTAGAGCAAACAGATTCTACCTATTAGCTCTGGTCACTGGAATCTGATTTCCATTTGGAATGAGCTCTTGCCCTTTGACCTGAAGGAGGTAAATAACAGCACAAAGTAAGTTTTAAAATAACAGTTGTGTACAATTATACAAGTGAACCACAGAAGAGACTGGGAAAGGAGGGAGAAGAATTCTGCCGATAAACCCCTTATATCTCTTCCATTCTCCCCAATGAACGTCACCTGGCCAGGAGACATTTTTACCAAAAAATAAAAATCTTACAGTATGGTAAATTGGCATATCAGATGTTTCAAATGGTCAACTTTTGAATTTTAGTGCTATTCCATTTACCTCCAATCGATGGAAAAATGAGTGGATGTTTTGTCTGAGATACTCAAGTGTGTCCGTCAACAATGATTCCCTGTTTATGCGCAGCATGTTGGTATTGTCATTATATATGACAGGAACGCTCTGTATCCATTCGTCCCGCAGGTACTTAAAAAAGTACAATAATGTTAGCTGGGTATTGACATACAATGATTACATTCACGGGGTGTTTACACGACACTGTTTTCTAAAACTAAAAAGCGCTTTGGCCATTCATTTATACGACAACAGCATTTTGGGGGTCTGAAAATGCAAACTTTTGAGAACAGGTTTCTAAGTGCCAGTTTTTGAAAACAATATCGTCTCTGTGTAAACAGCAAAAACGTGAATTTGTGAAAACTGTGACGTCATGCGCATGCGTGTGATCAGTCTCAGATCTGTGTGAAAGAGGATTGTTTTGCCAATGTTGCTGTTTTCAAAAACTCCATGGAAAAACTTCTCAGTTTTTAGTACATCATTGTCGTGTAAACATGCCCTCAGATTAGCATGGCATATGTCACTTACACGAAACATTCTCCATTTAGATGCAGTATCAGCCGCAAAAGGGAACTTGAATAATATTTTAATAGTTCTCTGAAAGAAAGATGCATGGGAGAAATATAGGGTTTCTTATAGCTATTAAACAAAAAACATAAAAAGTTCATGCAAATATTCATATGTATCATGTTAGAAGCCTTCAATACGCACAATGTAGTAACTTTTCAAAACTAGATCATAGAACTCAATGCACTCTTCCAGGTATTCCATGGTGGCTTGCAGCTATTGATGTAGAAAAAGAGAATTTTCTTAGTATTCCTCAAAGAAAAAATATTCTGTGCAGCAGAATTCACTATTGCTTTGGTTCTTACCGTATCTAGTAGATCACTGATCTCATGAATGATGAAATCCCTGTTTGGGATGTCTCTGTTGGCACTGCAGCAGACCTTCACAACAAAGTATAAGCAACTATTATACAATGATAGATTAAAATATATCTTTGATCCAGTGTTTAAAGAAGGCACCTGATAGATCATCTGAAGGATCTTCAAAAACTTCTCCAAGTGTTGTATATCCTGATTCATTTTACCACGAGAAATCTGGCCAATCAGCTCAGCAGAAGCTTTGCGAAATAACTTCACCAGGCTTTTGAGCCAATCATCAGGGAGTTTGGACCAGTACTTCTCTGAGAATATAACATACAAATACTTAGACAAATACAACAAAGCCAAAAACACAAGTCAAAGGCTGAAAGTTGAATGATGAAATCCCTGTTTGGGATGTCTCTGTTGGCACTGCAGCAGACCTTCACAACAAAGTATAAGCAACTATTATACAATGATAGATTAAAATACATATTTGATCCAAAAAAAGCATCTTTGTTAAAAAAAAAGGCACCTGATAGATCATCCGAAGGATCTTCAAAAACTTCTTCAGGCGTTTAGTTAAGTCATAGCCCATTTTACCAAAAGAAATCTGGCCAATCAGCTCAGCAGATGCTTTGTGAAATAACTTCACCAGGCTTTTGAGCCAATCATCAGGGAGTTTGGACCAGTACTTCTCTGAGAATATAACATACAAATACTTAGACAAATACAACAAAGCCAAAAACACAAGTCAAAGGCTGAAAGTTCTCCCAGCTTTACCTAACACCTTGTGAGCATCAGGATCCAGCTGAAGGATTTTGGAGGCCAGAGCTTCAGTGAGTTCAGTTCTTCGTTGTTTCTGGAGATGTCTGATGAGCTCAGGGAGGAGACTGTAAAGTCTCAGCGATTCCTCACCAACTGGATTTGGATTCAGAGATCGCAGCATCTGTTCAACCACCTTCATTACCTGAGATACACAAATTAAAGGAATTTCAGGTTGTATACAGTTTAGTTCCCTCAGTTTGTGAAAGCAAACAAAAAAAGTAAATATAGATGCTACACGGATGATAGAAAACCCCTTTAAGTCGTATTAAATGTTATTGCATCTTTTTATGTTAAACAAACTGAATATTTTGGATTTACTATTACCTTTGATATCACCTTTTCATTCCCTAATAACTTTGAAAAAGCTTTTTCAGCCAGCTCAAAATCCTGT